TATGAAATTTGAATGAACTGTTATAGTAACAATTGTTTAAACAAAAATTTACATTTTATGCCAAAATTCTAGTAAAAAAAGTGCCAACATGCGTCATCATCCATCAATTCCAAATAATAATTATAAACATTTTTGTTGATATGTAAATCGTTTTTAATGCTTTTATTTTACAAGTAGAAATGTGTGAGAGTGTCAGTTTAGTCGCAAAATAATCTTTGTGAATGTTTACAGCTTTGTAACCGCTTTCAGATAAAACAAACGTCATTCAGATTTAAAAAAAAGCAAAAAAACAAAACATCTACGATAAAATATTACAGGAAATGCCGGCTAATATATTTTCTTTTCCGACACTAATAACAATGAGTCATAGAATAATTTGTGTAACTCTTCAGCAAATTGGGATTTAAAAGATTATGAAGCAAGAGGAGTATTTTTTAGAGAAAGGAAAATGTATAGAAAATATTGTAAAATAATTTTATACCAGTGGTAAATTGTATTGACAAAGATCGGACAGGACATCCTAAAATATTAAGATTACCAGAGTTAGAAATACCCGTTTTAATCCCTAATTGGAAAGCCCAATAAAAACCACGCCAACTTAAAGAGGTATTCTGGTCTAGAATTTAAATAAATTGTTCTTTATATATTTTTCTAGTTCAATCAAGAATATGTGTACAAGAAAATTTCTCAAATTTAAATTGTTAGTTATAGCTGTTTGACCACGATAATCCTCCTGTTTCCTTCCTCTGCAAAACTTTAAACGCGTTTTTCTCTTTCTTTGTCTTTTTCGATATGATACCCACGATTTCTCGACTTCTACTAAACCGATTTACTTGAATATTTAACAGAGGCTTCGTTATAGACTACTTTTCATATGAACTACGATCATACTCAAATTCCTATTTTAACTCTATATTTTAAAAATTTGAAAACATCAGAAAAGAGTTTTAACTTTTTTATCAGATACCCACGATTTTTTAACTTCTATTGGATTTACTTGAATATTTAACAGAGGCTTTGTAATAGAGTTCTGAATTTCAAGATATTTTTAAAAAAATCGAGAATATTAAGAAAAAGTAAACTTTGTAAAAAAAAGTAAATATTCTTAGATAAACTTTGAAAATATGAAGTTTCTTAACAAGAAAAGTAAAAATATTGTTAGCCTTTGACTGTCTTATTTATGTCTCTAGACCAGAATCCCCTCTTAATGTTGCAGTTCAGATTTGAATGAATTTAATGCTACAACGGTACTAATTATCAATATCTGATCATTAAATGATTTAATTGCAACTTTTTAGTATGTCATTACAAAGACAAAGCCTACATGCGGCTATTGAAATCTCTATCGATTCTTCCAATAATGAATCGGCATCTACGGCTAATTAATGCCGACGAGTCGTATTAAAACGACAATGTCCTAAAGCAAAAACAAAAACAAAAGACGATAAATAATTCAATCCTCTTGTTTCCTTTTATAAATAAAACAATAGAGTTCAAATCTTCATTGTCCGGTTAAGCACCGAGCAGTACATTCGATGCATAAGATTTTGCAAACATTTACTGCTTCGAAATTTCAGTAGAACCCCGTTAAGACGATCATGGTTAGGGGATCGTTCAAGTATTACGTAAGCAGATTTATTACAAATAAATACCCCCCATCCCCCTTGTCAGCAAAAGTAAGCAAAGCTTTTACCCCCTACCCCCATGCTTACGTAAACATTTTGCAATTAATGTAAAAATAAAAAATACTACCTATGACGTAATCATCATCCAGACTCCCCTGTCCCCATTTCAACCCAAAATAAGCAAATCAACAAAGTCAATGACAAACTATAAATATTTTATTATAGAAAATATGTACTACTCTCATTTATTTTTTTATATTCGAAACTATAGTAAAATCAATAATTATTTTATTCCTTAAATGCTTTTTGGCTGTCATTTCAGTCAATATAAGTAATACATATATGCCAAGAAAATTATTATTTTATGACTTCACTTAAGCATTCATACCGTACAACTTCCTATGAATTGTAAGTGTGGGCAATGACTCACAAAGTCTGGGAATTTTAGCCGCTCGGGCTAGACGGTTAATTGACTCTGCTTTGTAAAAATAGCGAAGTGCATTCGAGGTATTGTTCCGATAAGTATTTCATTTTTTATTAGATTTGGAAAATGCGTAAAGCAGTGAAAGCAAATTCAAATAGAAAAGAGGGCAAATTATGTGCCTGCGTTCTAAAGCTCCCTAACGTACCCTACTTCCCGTAGGGTAAGTTGCAGTAATCGAAGAAAAAATCTGGACATTTTGGCATAACTTAGAAACAATTGTGTGGGTGTGTGTGTCAATGTATCGATGTTCGGATACAATTTTCGTCGACGTTTTCGGGAGCATGGATCAACCATTTAACCAATTTAAATTACGGTGCCACTAGTTATAAATCAACTAGGTTATAAAACATTTTTGTACTCGAACTGAACAATATGACACTTCAACTCTTGACCCTTTTTTATATTGAGCTTTTATTGACTTCAATAATTTCGCTTTTATTGCTACTAATAATCACTAAAACAGTCCATTTTGATTAGAATTGCTCCTATTTTTTAAATTAAAATTGCTCCTATTTTTTTTTTTAACTAAAATTGCTCCTAAATTTTATTTCAAATTGCTCCTGTTTTTTAATTGAAATTGTTCCTATTTTTAACTTCCCTTATGGTAAGTTATTGTAATTGTTCAAAAGTCAAAATTGAATTTTTTTACATTTCTCGACGTTTTGAAGGTTTCTGAACATTTTGGCATACCTCAGAAAAAATCGATGTGTGTGTGTGTATGTATGTATGGATACAATTTTCGTCCACACTTTCGGACGCACGGATCAACCGATTTGAATGGTTCAAAAAACATTCGATTTCTACTGATAGGAAGATGTGCTGATTAGTTTTTGGCAAAGGCGAGTCCAGCCGTTTGGAGATACGAAGCAAAGAGTGCAGAAAATAGAAATCGAGTTTTGAGAGATCAGAGTATCCGATTTGAATGATCCAAAA